CTATTTCACTTCCTGTTTCAAAAGTGCTGATTTTGGGTATAAAGCTTTAAAAAATTAAAATAATTGATTACAAAAAAAAAGGAGGGGTCTGAGCTCATGCGGGACCCTGCAGCTACTGTCTAAACTAAATACTGCCGTGATGAAACGCCATATCATGGATTATCAAGGATTCTCTCTGAAACAGTATGGAGCTCAAAGGCTTTCTCTCTTGCCGGTAATACCACAAGGTGAGTTCCTTTTTACTTCCTGCTTCTTCACACACATGGGCCGTTTCCCAATCGCGAGGATGCTTGCTTGGTAGCACATGTCTTCAGAGTCACTTCCTTCAGAAGCTAGGCAAGAATCCTTCCTGGCATTCGGAAAACGAAGAGTGGAACAGGCTAGCAAGTGTGCAGGTGCGCGTCATAGGAGAGGCCCCGCCTTACATTTTCCGCCACAGATTTGGGAAAATTGGTCCGTGCTCAAAGCATTGTGGGGATTTGAAGGACGCGAAGTCTACCCATGTGCAGCCTCGAAATTGCCCCAAAACCAAGGACGCGGCCTCGGTGGAATTCCAAGTATGCTGGAGATTGGAACAGTCCTTCGGCGGCACTCGATGACGTAGTATCCTTGAAATATTGGCTTGGAAGTCAGTATCCTTGAGATTGAGAAACGGCCACGCTCTCCAGTACAGGTTAGCTCTGAGTGTTAGCGATGCTAATGTAAACACTGACCATATTACGTCCAAAACAGTCGGGCATTGTTTCTGATAGCAACGTTTCTGATTGGGCCCTGGGTCCACATTTCAGATATTACGTCATATCGGACGCATATCTGGATCAGCTCCGTTGTTCCCCCGTTTTTAGAGATTTGGGTACGGAGGAAAAGAGAGAGGGTTTTATTTTCTGTTCCCCCGACACACCGGGGACACATATTTATGTATAAAAGACATCAACAAGTGCATTTTGCATGATAGGTCCCCTTTAAGTGAAATATTTGGGTACTACTTTGGAAATGTGACTATCTGTTAATATGTAATCAAAGTAAAATAGATATGTAGCAGGAAGCGGGAAGCAGCTGAGAAAACGTCACAAGAAAAAAAAGGGCGAAAATGTGAGGAAGTTAAAGAAAGCCGGAAGTAAGCGGGGGCAGCCTTCAAAATAAAAGCATAATATTTATACGTATGTTACAACTTTATGGGTCTTTATTATACTTATACCGTACACTAATAGGACACATACATTAGAATACAGAATAAAACAGTAGCCAGTGAAAAGAACACAATCAAATAATTAAAATAATGATTTTCTGTTTTCTTTTTGAGACTTTTATGATTTTATAGCTACATCATATTAACATGGTTTTGTTAATGTATTATTACCTTGATTCAAAATAATGTATATCCTTTAAAATAATGTAACACTTTTCCTAAATCTGTATTACAATAATGAGCCGTTTTTAATCGTATTTGTGTTATTTTGAAAGAAACAACCGGAAGTGCTTAACGTTCAGTGCGTGGAGCTTGACGTCAGCACGCAGCGGCAGGAGGGAGCGGCTCTGGTAGAGCGACATAGACACAGAGTGTGGAACAGAAAGAGAGAGAGAGCAGCGGACGGTGGATGACTGTGAGTAACTTCTCTCTCTTTACCTTCTTTACGCCTTTTTCCCTTTATATCTTCCCTTCATTAAGCATGTGTAGCTCTAACCCGGGAGCAGAGAGTCAGGCGGGGCGCGGGTTCGCGTCCCGGCCGAACGGGGCTGGGTTTGCGGAAGCGACCGGTGGACAGACAGGCAGACAGACAGGATCCGTTAATCATAATACTGTTCATATTAACCGGTTCACAGACAGACAGACAGTGGAGGTTCAAACATGGCCGCGGATTGTTTCTCCTGCCCGCCGTTCAAAAAATCGGAACGTTCCATCTCGGCAGTTGGTCTCTTTCCTCCAGCGGGGCAGCGGGGCCTGGCGCCCGAGGTGTCCGTGGAGGGAGCTTTCTGAGGCGGATACAGAGCTGCGGAGCTCCCGCTGATCTGCTGGAGGAAAGAGAAGAAAAAAAAGAGAGAGAGAGAGAGGAAGTAACTTATTACACAATGAGGAGTTTGGAGGAACCTGTCTGTCTCTCTTTCTCTAGGCCTGTCTGTCTGACTGTCTGACTGGCTGTAGTGTAAAGACAAGGCTTGGTTTTATTCCTCTGCTGTTGTACTGTCAGCAACTCACACTCACACTCACACTCTCTCTCTCACACACACACACACACACACACACACACACACACACACACACACACACACACACACACACACACACACACAGTATTGACAGGCCCCACCTAGTTCTGGTTGACTCAGGGATCTGTGTGTGTGTGTGTGTGTGTGTGTGTGTGTGTGTGTGTGTGTGTGTGTGTGTGTGTGTGTGTGTGTGTGTGTGTGTGTGTGTGTGTGTGTGTGTGTGTGTGTCCATCTTTGTCCAACAACTTTACTTTAGTAGATTAAAACCTCATGCTACATTTGGTGCCTGTTGGAGAAAGCAACACTACAGACTTGGTCTTTTTTTAAAATACTTTTACAAACAGTTTAGACATCCTGTATGTATGTACATATATATGACTATGCATGACTACATCCCTGTTTGCACTCAGTTCATTCATTTGCACTTACTGTCAATGTTGGACCTCTTTGTCTGTTTTGTTCCTTATTTCACATGCACTCATTTATGTTAAGTCTTATTTTTTTTCAACGTGTGCGGTGTGCATTCAGCCTGGTATCACCAAACTGCGTATCAGTAATGACTATTTTTGCCGTGTTATAACTACGCTTTTATTCATGCAGGCGTCATTTCACACCGCTGAAATATATATCTGTTATACAAAGTCTCGTCAAGGTGGAGGGATGTGTGAAACAAACACCTTGTTTTCGGTCTCGTTTGGAAACAGAAGTTGATCACTGGGTTGTTTGTTCTACATGTATTGACATCTTTATTACCCTGACTGCTTTTTTAGTCCATGATATATCTCAAAACCAATGAAAGAGCCAAGATGACTTCCTAAAAGGTCCTGTTTTGTGTGAACACTTTTTCTAAAATGTTCAGCTTTCCTTCATGTCAAACAAAAGCAAAAAATAGTCCATTTCAAAATTATATTAACAAAAAATATTTTGGCATTGTTGCTAATAAATGTTCTTCTACATCTGACTAATCAATCATGTTGTGCATGTATCTTATTTAGAAAGTTATGCCCATTATTTGCCATATTTAATGTCAAGTTTTAGTTTCACACAATTTGCTTATATTTAATCTATTATATCCATCCGTCACTATGTAGTTTCTCTACTTTAAAGAGTCCTCTCCTGCTGATGTTCAGGTGTATATCAGTATGTAGTGTCTCTACTTTAAAGAGTCCTCTCCTGCTGATGTTCAGGTGTATATCAGTATGTAGTGTCTCTACTTTAAAGAGTCCTCTCCTGCTGATGTTCAGGTGTATATCAGTAGTGTCTCTACTTTAAAGAGTCCTCTCCTGCTGATGTTCAGGTGTATATCAGTATGTAGTGTCTCTACTTTAAAGAGTCCTCTCCTGCTGATGTTCATGTGTATATCAGTATGTAGTGTCTCTACTTTAAAGAGTCCTCTCCTGCTGATGTTCAGGTGTATATCAGTATGTAGTGTCTCTACTTTAAAGAGTCCTCTCCTGCTGATGTTCAGGTGTATATCAGTATGTAGTGTCTCTACTTTAAAGAGTCCTCTCCTGCTGATGTTCAGGTGTATATCAGTATGTAGTGTTTCTACTTTAAAGAGTCCTCTCCTNCTGTTTTAGGCTGTTGACTGTCTTATTATAGGCTACATCCATTGGTTGGTTTTGTGGCACATTTGTAACGCTGTGCCAACTTGGGCAAGCACGCAGGCAAACTTGAGGAGCGCACACAGGGTGGAGTGAGGTTGAGCGAAGGAGAGAAAGTGAGAGAGAGAGAGAGAGAGAGAGAGAGATTGAGCGAGGCAGATAGCGTGTGCAGCGGTCTGCTTGCGCACAGAGCAGAAGTTTGTGAGAGAGCCTGCTTGAGTCAATTTCTCTTCAAAATATAATTGATTGCCAGCCTCCCTTGTCCCTGGCTGGCTTGCTAGCCCGTTGGTAACGTAAGCCTAACTGATGTCTTCTAATGTGCCTGCATCATCGCTGAGTTGCCATATTCCTTTCATGAACCACTTCCTGATATCCATTGTTGCAGATAAATATAAATGATAATTTAATTTCATAGCAAAATAAAAAATGATATTAAACTAATCTTTCAAACATAGTTTAAAACAAAAATAAATATTAGGACAGAGCCCTACAAATAACAACCATAAACATAATAATAAAACAATTAAAATGTTGTATTCAGCCCTGATTAAAACTGCGGGCCCAAATCCCCGCCCATGACGCCGGGTCTGCCCATAGCCCCCACCCACTCGATCGGATCGGCCCCAAAATTGGCAATCGGAGCATCCCTAATAATCATGATTCCAATATTTCATTTTTAAGCGTCAAGGTTATCTTCAGTATCGATTTATTACAACGTCTATTTTGTGGTTCTTTTCAGAATGAATAGAGAATCATTGCTTTAAAGCTGACAAAGTAAAAGCTTTCTCGCTGTTGATGGAAAGATTTGGCCTTGATACACACTTCAATATCAGCTGCCTGTGGTCTGTGGAGAAGACTTATGTGAAATAAAAGCTACAACCACTGTCAAATGGCTTTATGGCCTTATAGTAGGCACTGGGCTTTCAGCAACACTTCAGATATTGATTTACCCCAACACGCTAACCTAATCTTTGTTTGTCCCACGGCTGCACTTTAGAGCCAGCAAAGGATAAAACAGCTATGCCACATCAAGAGTTTTCATACACCTTTGTGTCTTTTGTGTGTCAGTTATTTGCCAATATAGATTCTTACAGTTTATTTTAAACAATTGAGTGATCTTTAAATTGAATGGCTGCTTGCTCTGTTCTACCTGTAGGCATTGTAGAAGAATACAAGCCTCCCTTTCACGACGCCGTCCCAAGTGACCCCAGTTTCGAGGACATGAAGAAGGTTGTGTGTGTTGATCAGCAGAGGCCCAACATCCCTAACAGATGGTTTTCAGACCCCGTAAGTCATGTTCAAGCTGTCAGAAGTATTCAAAGATTGCATACTTAGGATATACAAAAAAACAACAACATTCATTTCAGTTATATTCTGGTTTGTACACGGGTGATTAATTCGTTTTTTCTCAATTTACTTTCAGACTTTACTGTCCATGGCTAAACTAATGAAGGAGTGCTGGTACCAGAATCCTTCCGCCAGATTAACGGCGTTACGCATCAAAAAGACTCTCACAAAGATCGACAACTCTCTGGACAAAATCAAAACAGACATTTAAGCCTGCCTTGAGAAGAAGAGGTAGACATACTGAAGACAACCAGAGGGTGGACCATCCTGGAGACATCTCACAAGACAAGAGACTTGATGGGTTCAGTGCCCTTATAGTGGCACACAAACCTATATTTATTTAAAAAACACTTGACGGGACACATTTTGGCATCCAAAGATGGCTTACCGGGCATTTCTGAGACTGCCAAAGGTCTTGGAGATAGTAAAATATATCTATTCAACTTGTGACATAGGAGCTGGACTGTTAGCAATGTTCTCCGAGGAAGAAACTGTTACCTGGGCATTTGAGTAGGCTCGCTTTTGTTAGAACTGCAGATTTTGACACATTTTTTTGTTTAAAAAACGTCTGCACATATTAGCATTTTCACTTTCTCTTTTAAATTGTACTTTATTCACCATTTGCATAACGGTGGATTCCTTTGCAAAAGAACATGCCAACTTTATTTGTCAATTAAATCTGCATACTTTCTTAAAAGGAGACTACGGCGAGCAGTTTTACTTTGTGTCATGCACCTGTTTACAATGCTGTCTGAACAGGATTCCTGGGATCTCACTCATCCCTTAACGTTTAGTGTACAGCTGCATCGATGGCACTGTTGTTTTCCTGAGATATCGTCCAACTAAAGGTACCTTGTTGCAAACCTTTTGTATATCACCATTCATTTTACTTTGAATTACCTGTACCTGTTCTATGTTTTGTTTCTTCAGCTTTACAGAGACAAATGCTAAAAGAACAAATCAAATATCTGCTAGATACTGAACTCTATTCCTCCAGAGGCTGTAAGTAAGCCTGTAAAGCCTGTATACTGTCTTATGATGAAGCATTGTTGTCTTAATGCGTGCATTGTCAAGTAAATGAAGTCAAACTTCAGCCTTTTTTATTTCTTTAACATTTTATATCAATTAGTGATTTATTATAATTAAATAGAAAAAAATGTGTTTTATTTGTCTCATTTGTCTTGTTGCTCTGTCCAGTGGATGTATTTATTTGATGATTGTCCACTTTGGTCAAGCCTGAAATATCATTTTGTGGTTTTAAGTGAAGTGTCTAACCATGCCGTTGACTATATAACCCTAACCCTGTAATATATCAGCTGTTTCTACTAGGTAACTTGTTTATTTTTGAGGATCTTTAATATAATTAATGTCGTTTTAAGTACTCTCAACCGGTTTCAAATCAAGCCCCATCTATCCCCTTCTAACTATTCAGTCATGTACCTTTCCAGAGAATCAGAATCAGTTTTATTACCAAGTAGGTTTACACATGAGGAGTTTTCTTTGGTATAAATAAAATACAATTGTACTGTTATAACAGCTATTTAAAAACACTATTTTGAGATTATTATTACAAGTTAACAAAATGTACACAAAATATAATGTGAGCAAAAAGGTTCAGTCAAATATAATAAGATATGACAAATACTTAAATACTGTATTTAAAGTGGAGAGCTTTGCTGATTTAAAAGAGGTAGGTTGGAGAAGAAATGTGCAATGTGCAGGATTTACAAAGGAAGCTAAAACTCACATTTATATTGCAGCCTTTATTTTTGACACTACTGGTTAAAGGTTTACACCTAATTAATTCACTAATGTGCATGTATGTATACCTCTTTGGTGCATAAAGCTTGACATCTTCACTGATAATTCAATTCATCAAGAAAATGTCAAAAGCAAAGGGGTTTTCCCTGCCAGCTGTAAACTGAAACGGCTTGCGCAGCAGGTATTTTGGCAGATGTCAAACAGAAACTGGGCCCCTAATGTTTCTCAGACTGATTACTATGCGAGGGGAGTTATGAGCCAGATGACACAAACACTAACAGTAGAGGTCTGACAGTGCTGAGACTCTGCTTCCTTTTATCAACAGCGTTCAGGCTTTCTACGTAGTGTGTCTCTATATTCAGTGTCATTTGATCCATCCTGCACTCACAGAACACAAAGGTTAATCTCCAGTTTTTAAATCCCATCGTGTTTAACCCATTTTTACAATGGATTTGTAAACATGCTGTGAACTTCTATGTACTAACAACTAAGACAAGGAAAGATATGATCTGTTTATGAATCATTGCAAATTATTTTAGTATGGCTAACTTGAAAACAAAAAAAAATCGATCTGGATTATTCATACACATTTCACAGTATTATTGTCCCAGGACAGAAACAAAGTTCCTGAAATCACTAATTGTAGATATAGATGTGTTAGTTGATAGTGAAGTAGAATATGTAATGTATCACTATATACTACACATAGACTGCAGACTTTGCTGTAATTAAATGGAAACGGTAAATGTTGTGCTCATGTGACAGTTTATTCATTCTCCCTGGTGACACTGGCACCTGTTGTTGCTATGGAGCCCAAGCAGCTTGGTCCCATATGGCCTGCCGTAAATAACGTATTACATGCAGGTGAGTTGAGCTATAACATCTGCATTGAGCTTAATGTAAATCAGACTTCCTGTGTTTACTCTCTGCTTGGTTGGATGGGATGTTAGTGCTGTTGGGTTCTTCTGTTTTGCTGACCTGAGTTCTGCTCTCCTCCAGTGAGAGGAATTGTAAAGGCAACAGGGGAGCAGGAGATGGCTGGATACCAACCAGGCGAAGTTGGAAACAGCCAATCAAACAAACTTTAAAATGAGTTCATTCCTCCAAAGTGCAGTAATATTTGGTCCCACATTATTGCCTGATCTTGCAGCCCTGTTCTACAGATTATTTATGTGTGAAAAACAAGATTCAAGACGTTGTTTTATTTTTTAATGAGCTCATACAATATTTATTCCTTCATATAGATGTGTTTATCAAACGAGAACCAATTTACTGACGGACAACTCCAAGCAGGTATTATTCCAGCACAGGAATACCGAAATGTCCCTGGTTAAATTACAAAATGGTCTTCTATAATCTGCTATGTGCACTCTACTTAATGGGAATTTAGAGGAGATAGGGTAATTGTTGTACAATAAATGGAACAGCAGCATTTTACCTTGACCAAGTGCCCACAAACTGGTAAAAAAGGTCATTTGAAAAACATCAAAGTAGACAAAATATTGATGTAGCTAGTATGTTGGCACATTACCTTTGCTGTTTGTTCCTACTGTCGTTGTAACACTCAGGATTAAATAATACCCTCTGTTAAAAGGATGTGCAACACACTCTGGCCCTCGTTCACATGTCTTTATCAGATGTCTGCAGCACTAATCCTCTAAAATTCTCGTCAACAGAGGCGGAGCAAACCTCTCTATGCGAACACACTTCCCTCTCCGCATTTACTGAGGAGCATCTTTGAGAGATGCATGCACCACGGACATTACCGCAATGAGAGATGGTGTGTGTTGTTGTAGACTAGCTGTGTGACGGAGGGTCTGACTCGGAGCAGATGCGGCTCTTGCCATGGTTCGTCCCGGGAAGCAGAGCGTTGAAGCGGCGTTGATCTTCCTGTCTGTCGCCCAGCTCACCGCAGGTACAGTACCTGCACTGCACCGCGTTAGGTTTATCTAAAGCATACACTTAAATCAAGGTGTTATGTGACTTAGTAAAAATCTTACCTCACAAATGGCTGGTTTATTGGGATTAATAGTTAACTATTGTTGACTTTTGAAATCCCTCATATTGTTTCAGGGAGATTAAATCGTCCATGTCCCCAAACATGTTCCCAAACAACATGAATTACGTTTATTTAACTTTGAAGGAGACTTTTTCTTTACCAATAAACTCAACTTTACACCTTTATAAATGTTCTCTTCTTTCTTCTAATCTTTTATCCGCATTAGGCTTAAATTATGTTGCTTTTAAAGCTCTGAAGGCAAAGACTATTTCTTCTTAAGTAATAACGTCCCTCCTATAGGCAAGGCCTGAATATTGTTCCGTTTATGTCGCATGTGGTATTGACCACGTGTTTGCCCAAAGTAGCTCACATTTAAATATCGAGTGCTTTGTCAAAAAGTGTTTGGGAGTTCTGGGATTTATCCCAAACTTTCAGAATGTAGAGTGTTACCATTTCCCAGTGAGTACCCATGCTGTAAACTTAAGCTCAAATCATGGTGTCACTTATTGGGTAAAAAAAAGAGTTTAAGATATTAAATGTTATGGTTTTATATAGCGGGATATCTTTGTTTTTTTTACCTGAACATAGTGTGTTTGGCTAGTTTCTCCAATGTATGAAGCTTTTTGTTTTCACTTTTAATAGAAAACTAAATATCTTTGGGTCTCAAAGTCCTGGTCATACAAAAAATAAACCATTTGAAATCAGCATCTTGGGATTTAGGGGTTGTGATTTGCACATGTCATAATTATTTTACAATTTAAAGCTAGATTATTAAATTATGAAATTGTTATTTGTTGCAACCTTTATTGATACTGCAAGTGTCGGTCTGAAGGCTGATTGGCTGTATTATAAAATGCATTGCAAATAAATTGCACTGCTTGTTGTCAAAACAAAGCCGCCTCCTCCTCACTGATGAATTATACCTGTGATTTATGTACTGCTGTCTGTGTCTGCCCTGCTCTGATAAATAGGTGTGTGACTGAAAGCTTTTCTATTTGATAAGGTTAACGGTTGCAGTGTGCTGAAACCTCCATTTGTTTTTGGCTACAAATGGTGCAGACTTTAAATAAGACATTATCACCAACTTATAAGAAGTGAATAGATAAGTGATAGAACCCCACTTATTGAACACTTACTTTTGTCAAATAAATTAACCGCAAACATTCAGCTGATCAGCAATGTGTTTTCTTTAAGGTGCCCTCATTTTGGGTTATATACTTCATTAAAATGAAGAATATGCTTGTGAGTTTTTAAAATGTTTAAATAGTCAGTCAATAGTCAGTATGTTGTTTTTGCTGATATATTTTGAGAGATTAACATTGTTATTTATTTCCTGTTTCCCTAACTAAAAACTTTAGCTGTTTATGACACCTATTCTAAAGAACAATTAATTTAAACTATAAGAAAAATGTAATAACCTCCCTGCCACCTCACATGCCATTGACAATTGTGTTACTTTTCTTTAAGAAAGTAATCAATGTGCTTCAAAAAGTTGTTGCTTGCCAAAGCAACTCCCAAATATGCTGTTAAAGCATAATGGAACTAAAATGCCAATCTCTTTTATTGCTCGAAGTCTGTCTGACTGCTACGGAGCCCCCTAGGGGACATGGAGATGAAAAAAAAATTGGTATACATTTGTTTTTACAAAAAATGTTTTGAGAGATCGTAGGATTTAGCAAAATAGCTCGAAATAAGGTCTGTGGTTGACACGGGTCACCTTTTGTTCAGTCGGGTAATCTCCACATGTCTACCCTACTTTTATAATTTTCGAATCATAAATCTATCGATTAGATTTTAGGAAGCGTCACTGTGGCACTGTGGAGAGAGGAGTGCTTAGGGACCGTCTACAGCAGCGTTTCTCAAAGTGTGGGATAGAGATGTGATAGGTGGGTCGCGAATGGACGCGATGAACGGGAGATTATTAATATTATTTAAAAAAAATTAAATACATTTTTTTGGACCTCAGGCCGGAATCGAACCTGGGTCCTCGCGGGCGGTTGTCACATATGCATGCAATGCATACAGAGTTAAGGCTGTTACGACAGTGTTGCGACATGCTTTACGGCATGGGAAGGACTGCTTTACCTCGGAGTAAGTCCGCCAGTTGTTATGTTTCGGACTACTGTAATGTCTTGACTTACTGTTGAATAAACCTGAGTCGTAAATGATACTCGACCCTCGATCATTCTATATGGTGTCAGAAGTGACCGGTGAGTCACAGGAAATAAATAAGACAAAGTAAAGGAATATAGACGGCGGAATGGCCAAGTTTAATCCCCCAGCAAACTTTTCGTTTGATAAGCCGACTGAATGGCCAGAATGGAGGCAACGCCACTACTAAACTCGACAAAGATGACGGGAAAGTGCAGGTGAGCTGCCTGATTTATACCATGGGCAACGAGGCAGAAAACATATTCAAGTCGTTCACTTTTGCCGAAGAAGATGACAGCGATGACTTTGCCGTTGTGGTGGGAAAGTTCAACGAGTAATTTTTCCCGAGGAGGAACATTATCCACGAGAGGGCATGTTTCCACCAGCGGGTCCAGCGGCCAGGGGAGAAGGTAGAGGGTTTCATCCGAGCCCTGTATGATCTATCTGAACACTGTGAGTTTGGCGTAAGCCGAGATGAGAATATCCGCGACCGAATTGTTGTCGGGATACGAGACAGAGAGCTCTCGCGCAGGCTGCAGCTTACGGCGGACTGTTGGAGCGCCACCCAATGGTGGTGGTGGAAGGTTCACCTCTGCTCCCTGCCGTCCATTGATGAGTGGTCAGTTAAAGGAAGAAGGATTCAAACACCAAGATAAAGGATAAAACAATAATCTGTTTTAATGGTAAAAGCAACAATACAAAATACAGAGTACTCTGGAATCAAGTTCTACCACCGTGTGATATACGTACCACGACAGCCAGTCAGAACAAGAGTNGTTGTGTCGGTTGCTCCTCGCTTCATATTTCTAATTGGTCGCTTCACTCCTTGGCGGGCCCCAGACAGTGAGTTGGTAGTTCTCCATTGGCCGGTTTCACTTCTGGGCGAGCCCTAGGCAGCGAATCAGAGTGAGTTAGCCATTGCTGCCCAGAAACAGAGTCTTCCACTCCTGAACAGAGCGTGAGAAATTCGGAGTCTGGCGCTGATAAGCAAGGCCGTTTTCATGGGCCGTTTTCATGGAGTCAACATTGGGTGAACATAACAATCTTTATCTTTGCACCTGGCGCTACTCCCTCTTTTTCCCAAGCATACATTTTACACAGACTCCCTCCTTTTCCCAAGACTATTGGCTCCTAAGATATGTCGGGCCGAGGTTATAGTTGTTGAAGCAGTTTTATACAGAAACAGGTTATACAGGTTACTTTAGGACCTAACACTAGCACTGACGATACGGACCGTCAGGCAGTCAGAGGAGGTCGCAACACAAGTGAGTCTGCAGGAAGACACAGTGGGATCAGTACAGGAGGTCAAATCTGACCTCCTGTACTGATCCCACTGTGTCTTCCTGCAGACTCACTTGTGTTGCGACCTCCTCTGACTGCCTGACGGTCCGTATCGTCAGTGCTAGTGTTAGNGAACAATAACCCGATTATACCCCTCCTGGAAACATTGTCCCTCCAAAGCTATAGAGACCGATGTTTCCAAATAAAGACTACGGTTCAGATACTCAGTCTTCACTACAAAAGTTATTTCAAAGTCCTATGGAGGTGTCATCATCAGGAACAACTTTCTTTCCTGTCAGGCAGAATTCATCATGGTTAGAATTCAAGCTACAGCTAGTCATCAAGTCATGCAGGGATCAATGCAGAGTTCGACCCAAAGTTCATGCGTCACTTGGTCTCACAATAGCCGCGTTCACACCGAGTACCTTTTCCCACTTATTGCCGGATTATAGGTTCCGAAATGTAGCGTTCCAACACAAAAAGAAGCCGGAACAAAAATTAGTCATGAGAAGAAGCTGTTGTACCCCCTTTTCCGTCCCTGCTACGAGAGCAGACTCTGCGATGCGGCTCTCTTGTGTGAGAAAAAAGAGCTATATTTCTGATTGGCTGGGCGGATTGCAAACCACGCCCCCGTAAAACTCAAACAAAGTGGTTTGAAGCCACCATTTTATTATCCTTGCATTATGGCATTAATTAGGCATTAGCCATTAGCCCAGGCGCAGAAAACGGCAGAGAGACTAAACGTATGGGCAACACAAAATAAAACATGGGGAGCAGGTGGAGATCTGGAGGAGGTGTCGGGCGCGGGCGTGGTTTGCAAATCGCCCAGCCCAATCAGAAAATATTAGCGCTTTTGTGCTTGACTCACATATACTCGGGCGTAGGAAGCTGCAAGGCCGCCGCGATGAGGAGTCCCTGCGTTCCTCTAGAGCAGGGTCTACTGAAGCCCAGTCCCCAACTCCGGGGCGGACTGTATATAACACAAGAGCGGGATTTTGGGCTTGCGCGTCAAAAGGTATTTCGCTCTCTATGAACTAATTTTGCTTCCGGCTCTTTTTCGGTGTGAACGCCTACATTTCGGAATAGTATCGGACACTAAAGTGCGGAAAAGCTACTTTCCGGCTGGTCTGGAACGCTGCGCTATTGTTGAGCGATTGGACGCATGGAACTATTGTCTGGACGCTAAGTCTGTCATGATCGGCGCGTCCTGTGCTGACTTTTGGATGACTGTATGTAATACCGCAAAGCAGATTGTAGAGAATTGTGAGGCGTTCTGTGGCCACAGAGTTTGTAGTGATCCTTAATCCATAGGAGTTTTGTACTCAAGGGGAGACAAGTTTCGCTAGTACTGCTTAGGTCCATGTGTAACGAGTTCTGATACTGAACGCGTACATTTGTGTGCTCATGAACCATTATTAGTGGGATTTGTGTGTCTGGTTGGGATGAGTAAATCTGAAGTATGCTGTGCTGATTTCGGCTAATGG